CTTTGCCGCCTTGTCCGCCGACGCTACCTGCGATGCTGCTGCAGTGCTGGCAGGTGCACTCGCAGCCGCACTCCCACTCGCAGCCGCACTTTGCAAATTGAGCGACTTCATAAAAGATCTCACATCCGCGTCCAGCGTAGGCTGAGGTGAGGATCCAATCAGAGCAGCATTCCACAGTCAGTGTCGCACCCCCAGAGGCAGCGCCTGCACCCACATTATGGACTCACATCGATCACATCCACCACCTCCTCCTGCCCCGCACCTCCTCGCCCATCTCTACCTTTGCCGAAGCTGGACTTGGACTTGGACCTTGGCCCTGTAGAAATCAATTTCAGATCTTCAGCATCACCTCCCATCTGTTCGATTTCTCTCAATAAGCTCTCTTCATCCACGTCCGAATCGCTCTCGCTGTGAGGTGCGGGCTGTCGTCGAGATGGAGGAACATTGGTGGAGCGCTTTGCTTTGAGATGGATGCTCGACTTTGGAGCTGCGCCTGTGCCTGTGCCTGTGCTTGTGCTTGTGCTTGAATGGGAAGATCGTCTTTTGGACTTGTCCTTTGGTCTAAAATCTCGCACCATGACGCCTTGGTCGATGAAGCGCGTTTCGCAGCCGCGTCTCTTTGCGTTAGGAGCGGACGTGTATGCTATGATTCGCAAGTGAAAATGCGAGAGAAAGGGTTGATGATGGATCAGAGTCAGAGTCAGAGTGAAGGCAGGCAGGCAGTAGTCAGTCTTGAGCATCGAGCGGGTGCGGCCAACGGATGTGTTGCCGTGCATGCATCTATGTACAGTCTGAGTGTGAGTGTGAGTGTGAGTGTGAGTGTGAGTGTGAGTGTGAGTGTGAGTGTGAGTGTGAGTGTGAGCATGAACATGCCATTCAAAATCAAATTCACCGGCACGCGCCCAAAATTTTGAAGGCCTGACTGGGCGCGCGTCTTTCGGCCGATAGAGAGCGGCCGAGGCAGGCATGCAGCTGCATGGCTCGCCACAAATTTGGACACAATTTGAAGCACGAATCACGAATCATAATCAAAAATGTGAATTCACTCACTGAAATCAGAATTGTCACGAATCGAATCAAATCCTGAATGAATCTGAAATCTCATGAATGCGGCTGTGGACAGCAGGCTTGACAGGCACCAGCGAGCGAGCGAGCGAGCGAGCGAGCACACGTGTGACTGAAGGGCCTTACTCACAACTATCACCACCACATCCCACATCCCACACCCCACATCCCACATCCCGTCATCGCGCCATCCAACCGCGCTCCCATCATGCCACTACCCACATCGAAGAAGAATGCAGGTTTGGGGCACGCCATAGCCAATCGACGAGCCAAAGAATCTTCTCAACGCAACGCATCCGCCTTTCACACGACCGATTTCAATCGAGGATTGCAGAGCGTCACGCATCAAGGCGATTTGGAAGAGTTTATAGCCACAGCTCAACTAGCCGAGAGCGATTTCACTGCAGAGAGGAGAAATGTGACGGTGGTCAGTGCGCCTGCTGATGGCATGAGAGGGGGAGTGAATGCTAGAGGTTGGAATCCCTTCTTGTTGGATGGAAGAGAGGAAAGGGAATCGTTGGAGAGGCAGAGGAGGAACAAGGAAGCGCTTAGAGTGCCTAGAAGGTCAGTCACGTGTCGTCGTCGTCGGCTTCCATTCCATCTGACTTGCTCGCTCCTTCCTCATCACCCACGCATACATGCAGACCTCGATGGGACAGCAAGACGACGCCATCTCAGCTGCAACGCTTAGAAGCCGAAGCTTTTCTAGATTGGAGAAGATCTCTAGCTCAACTGACAGATTCGGGCGGATTCGTATTGACGCCATTCGAGCGCAATCTGGAAGTGTGGAGACAATTGTGGAGAGTTGTGGAGCGCAGTCACTTGGTCGTTCAGATCGTGGATGCTAGAAACCCGCTGAGGTTCAGGTGCGAAGATTTGGAAAAGTATGTGGAGGACATTCCTGCTAGAGTTGGTTCCTACCCCGCTGACGACGAGGAGAAGGGGGAGGATGAGGGTTTGAAAGAGCGCAAAAAAGGTCCGAGAAGGAACCTCCTGCTCATCAACAAGGCCGATCTGCTCGATCAATCTCAAAGATGCATTTGGGCCAAATACTTCGAAGAGAATGGCATCAGGTACGCCTTTTTCAGCGCGGCTAATGCGGCTGCTGTTCAGCAAGAACGATTGGAGAGGGAAATGCAAGAGGAACACGAGAGGTTGTTAAAGGAGGAAGCGCAAGAGGCTGCTCTGCGAGAGGCAGGCCTGGATGTGGATGAAGAGGAGCAAGAGGAGGATGCGGAGGAGGAGCAGCAAGAAGAGGAGGATGCGCAGCAGGCAGCAGCAGCGAAGGGACACTCCGCTGCAGAGCATTTGGAGGCTCGGGTGAATGCGAGGGTGGATACT